GCAACATGCAATTACGCCAGGAGAACGACAGATTGGTTAAGCTACGGTTTGTTAGAACAGTGCGCAGCACACGGCATACACGTACAAGCGGCAGAAAAAAAAATCAAATTTCAATAATAGAAAAACAGATTCTACATTCGCACTTCACCTTCTAGATCATAATCGTTCTTTTAATGACGAATTTCAAATTCTTCACATCCAAAATAAAGGCCGTAAGCTATCTTTATTAGAATCTATGGAAATTAACAAATTGAATTACAGATATAATTCTGAATGTCCAACTTGAGACAAACAGTTTTTCCCTGTTTTTGATCTTTTTCAATCAAAGATCAATTGAGAAAGGTACTCTGCCGAAACAGCTGTAGTAATAAGATATTAATTACTATTTATAACTGGGAATTAACCACAATTAAAGATAAAAATACGTTTATTGACGTTTCAATTTCCAATTCGGAAATCGTTCTCAAAATACAAACAGTAAATTAAACAAATTTTGTTTTTTGTTACATAGTGAAAAAATTCTTCTAATAATTTAATTTTATCTGACTCATTTATATTGACAATTCAGACATACATTATGCATTTTAAAGTAGACGACTTTAAAATGATATTGCCAATATTGTTGAGTTGCGCTCCTGGGACGACTTTACTTATAAGATAGTTCATTCGATTACATGAAATCAACTTTAACTTGAGAATATCCGTCAGAAAAAATCATAGCATGTTATTCGTCTTTAAAAAGACAAACACATGACATGATGACAGTAAAATTTTCCTGTTAGTGATTCCATAGTAAATTATGAGGGAAAAACCAGAAAAAAAACCTCATAATACTATCCCGACATTGTAAGTATTTGTTCGTGAATTTAGTTTACCTTCAACAAACATCAAAATTCTGATTTTATATTATGTCGCAAATTCCTCGGCAGAATGTAGTAGGATCTGGTTACCAATATTGAAAGAGGAAGTTATTAATAAGAAAATACCAGTATTAGTAAGTCAGTAACATATAGAGGATACATCATTTATGTTTTTTAAATAACGTAACATATAAAATCAGAATGTTGATGTTTGTTGAAGGTAAACTAAATTCACGAACAAATACTTACAATGTCGGGATAGTATTATGAGGTTTTTTTCCTGGTTTTTCTCTCATAATTTACTATGGAATCACTAACAGGAGAATTTTACTGTCATCATGTCATGTGTTTGTCTTTTTAAAGACGAATTACATGCTATGATTTTTTCTGACGGATATTCTCAAGTTAAAGTTTATTTCATGTAATCGAATGAACTATCTTATAAGTAAAGTCGTCCCAGGAGCGCAACTCAACAATATTGGCAATATCATTTTAAAGTCGTCTACTTTAAAATGCATAATGTATGTCTGAATTGTCAATATAAATGAGTCAGATAAAATTAAATTATTAGAAGAATTTTTTCACTATGTAACAAAAAACAAAATTTGTTTAATTTACTGTTTGCATTTTGAGAACGATTTCCGAATTGGAAATTGAAACGTCAATAAACGTATTTTTATCTTTAATTGTGGTTTATTCCCAGTTATAAATAGTAATTGATTTACAATGCCACAAGAAAATAGCTTCAGAACAATGATAAGATATTATAATAAATTTTGTGGAAGTTTTTAAAACAAAGTTTTCAATGTTTTATTGTTATAATAATATATAATATAATAGTACAAGATCCCACTGCAGGATCACTACGTTATAAAGTAGTTCATCAAACTCACATTTTTACATACATTTAAAACTGGAGAACACATTGATAATATGTAGCCAAACAAAAAGTGGCCGCAAATATTTTTAATTCAATTAATAGTATGTAATTAGTTTTTGACAAACATTTTATTTCGTGGGTGGATTGGTCCGATTGGAGCGTGCGATGCGTTAAATGAAAGGGGAGACGATAAGAATTGTATTAAGATAAAAAAAACAAACAAAGCAACTACCAACACACTACACCTTAGCTTCGTTATTAATGAACGTCTAGCAACATACGAGTTATCACATGGTAGTATCAAAATTTCTAATTTGCTTATTCTGTCTAACAAAAACCCCAGCGCCGGCATTATTATCATACATTCTATCATAAATGCAAGAGATCTGGTTTGGTTAGATTTAGAAGGATCTAAAAAAAATTGTCCGAGCGGAAAATGTTGATTTTTTATTCGTTTAAAAAAATTGTCTTAATAAAATTGGGACCACTTTTCGCATTTGCGACTTCTTCAACCTTATTCTGAGGTGTCTCAAGAGTGTGATTAGGCAAAAATTGTTTATGAGCTTATAATTGAGCTATAATTAAGCTTTTCACCTTATCTACTATGTTTCATATCTACTATGCATATCTATGTTTCGTGGACCTTACAAAGGCATTTGACAAAGGCATTTGACCGGGTCAAATTAAATACGTTATCCACTTACTGTATGCACGAGAGGTACCCCTAGGAATAATCAAAACGATCGAAAATATCTACCAAAACTACACAATAAAAGTACAAGTAGAAGAACTAACCGACCTTATTGAAGCTGTCAATGGGGTAAGACAGGAAGATTCCTCGAGTACTCTATTGTTTAACCTGATTATGGATGAAATAATAAAAAAAGTAGGAACAAAAAAAGGATACCAAATGGGAGAAAAACAACTTAAAATAATCTGATATGCAGATGCCGCAATACTTCTCTCTCAAAGTGAAGATAATTTACAACGTATGCTGCACCAATTCAATATAACCACCACAAAATTTAACATGTTTATTTCCCCAACAAATACAAAATGCATAGTTACAACAGCAAATTTACTAAGATGTAAATTGGAGCTGGAAGGTCAGATAATAGAACAAGTGATGGAGTTTAAATATCTAGGCATCACATTATCTAGCTACGGAAAACTCGAAACCGAAGTGGAAGATCAAGTGAATAGAGCAAACAGAGCCGCTGGCTACCTAAATAAAACAATTTGGAGAAATAAAAATATCTGGAAAGAAACTAAAGGCAAAATTTACAAGACAGTCATTAGACCAATAATGACATGCGCGGCAGAAACAAGACCTGACACAGAAAGGACAAAGATGATGTTAGAAACAGCAGAGATGAAAACACTTGGAAAAATTTTTGGTAAGACACTTTGGGACAAAGCTCGAAGTACAGATATACGACACAGATGCAAGGTGGAGAACATCAAAAACTGGTTAATTACTATTTAACTGGGAATAAGCCACAATTAAAGATAAAAATACGTTTAATGACGTTTCAATTTCCACTTCGGAAATCGTTCTCAAAATACAAACAGTAAATTAAACAAATTTTGTTTTTTATTACATAGTGAAAAATTCTTCTAATAATTTAATGTTATCTGACTCATTTATATTGACAATTCAGACATACATTATGCATTTTAAAGTAGACGACTTTAAAATGATATTGCCAATATTGTTGAGTTGCGCTCCTGGGACGACTTTACTTATAAGATAGTTCATTCGATTACATGAAATCAACTTTAACTTCCGTCAGAAAAAATCATAGCATATAATTCGTCTTTAAAAAGACAAACACATGACATGATGACAGTAAAATTCTCCTGTTAGTGATTCCATAGTAAATTATGAGGGAAAATTATGAACATCAGTCTTATATTAAAAATAGAGAATTTGATAGATCTCATATATGTAAACACGCATGGGATAATGAACATAGGGTTCAATGGAATAATTCAAATGTAGTCCTAAAAGAGACGGATGGTAAAAAAAGAAAAATCAAAGAAGCGGCTTTAATTATGCTAAATGAGGCCAATTGTGTCGCAAATTCCTCGGCAGAATGTAGTAGGATCTGGTTACCAATATTGAAAGAGGAAGTTATTAATAAGAAAATACCAGTATTAGTAAGTCAGTAACATATAGAGGATACATCATTTATGTTTTTTAAATAACGAAACATATAAAATCAGAATTTTGGTGTTTATTGAAGGTAAACTAAATGCACGAACAAATACTTACCATGTCGGGATAGTATTATGAGGTTTTTTTCCTGGTTTTTCCCTCATAATTTACTATGGAATCACTAACAGGAGAATTTTACAATTTTACAGGAGTCATCATGTCATGTGTTTGTCTCTTTAAAGACGAATTATATGCTATGATTTTTTCTGACGGATAATCTCAAGTAAAAGTTGATTTCATGTAATCGAATGAACTATCTTATAAGTAAAGTCGTCCCAGGAGCGCAACTCAACAATATTGGCTATATTATTTTAAAGTCGTCTACTTTAAAATGCATAATGTATGTCTGAATTGTCAATATAAATGAGTCAGATAACATTAAATTAGAAGAATTTTTCACTATGTAATAAAAAACAAAATTTGTTTAATTTACTGTTTGTATTTTGAGAACGATTTCCGAAGTGGAAATTGAAACGTCAATAAACGTATTTTTATCTTTAATTGTGGCTTATTCCCAGTTAAATAGTAATTAATTTAAAATGCCACAAGAAAATAGCTTCAGAACAATATCAAAAACTGTGTAAGAAATAGAAGAGTAGAATGGAACGATCATATAAGCCGAATGACAACAAATAGAGTAGTAAAGACGGCAAGAGACGGTTCCCCAATAGCAAGACGATCAGTAGGAATACCACGAAAACGATAAAATGACAACTTACTGGAGGCACATCGAAAAACAGACAGAGTCATGTCTATATAAAAAGAAAAAGAAGAAGACCTTATCTACTATTTAAAATTAAAGGATTGTGGTACTGAAAGGGAAGTGGTTGATAAATGACAGATATCTATATCGTTAAAACATGTTCTCTTTGGAACACTGCCAAATATCAGAGTGGACACTTGTGAGTGGTCAACCCTGTATTATTAATAAATCTTTATCCAATAATTATCAGCAAAAAAGTTACAAATAAGATGTCCAGCTTACTGTGTTACATCACAACAGATTATTTAGACACTAAATAAGAAAAGTTCATTTACTTACTATATTGGCACAGAAACAGAAAATTCCGAAAGCGCGAAGAAATTTCAATTTTATAAATAGCATCTCGTCTATGCCGGTAATTAAGATGTTCTATAAATTCTAAGAAGAACTCTTTAGACCAATGTCGAATGAATTAATAATTCTAACAAAAATTAGGAACTCAAAATGAATAATAATTGATAAAAAACTATATATAGAGATACCAGGAAAAAATCTTTATCGAGGATTTGTAATTAAGAGCATAGGTCGCGTTTGTATTATCAAAATATAATTTTTTGTGGTGATAAAACACTCATTATTTTCTATGTTATGGAAGATTGCTATCTGAGACTTGCAATTATTGTAACAAAATGTTAAATTATCGAGGCAAGAAATAAAGAGTAAGGAAGAAAAAAATGTTCATTAGAGAGAAAAATAGGTGCGAACAAAAAATGTATAAAACGAATAGATAACTTAAACATTATATTTTTATTAAAGCCAAAATTGATTGTAATGATAATTTTTCGACTGTTCTATGGTCTGTTTTTTAACCAGGAGGAGTAATTCAAATTTTCCGCGCCGTAATACTTGTTTGGAATTGGTCCAATCGCAGGCAAGTTTACTCCACTAAATTATGACATATTGACACTAATGACATTTCTGAAATTTATTTATTATTATTATTTTCCTCTAATATCATGATACTATAACAAAACAAGATAAGTCAACGCGCATGTTCTTATGACGTAAGCCTGAGACAAGTTGCTAAATTGACCAAATTAATGACAGCAAGTTAAACTTTAAAATTAAATTAAAATTTTTTATTTGATGCAATTCTAGTTATATAAATAAAAAGAATTTATATTAATAACAGCAGAGAATTAATATATCAATATTATAACAGCAGAGTAAATGTTTCTATGGATAATAATAAATGTTTCTATAGATAATAATATATACTAATGCCCATTTTAATAGAACTTGAAGTAATACTTTATTTTTGACAGGTCTTTAAAAAAAGTTACTTTGGATGTATGTAGTGAACTGGAACATATTTTTCGTAGTTATAATGGCGACACATTAAAAATAACAAAAAATGTTTAAAAAACTTAATAGAAGCTGCAAAATATGTAAATGTTTATGTGTACGAAGATGTAAAATTAATTTTTTTAGATGTAAAATGTATTTTAAAATAAAAATTCTAAATCAAAATATTAAAGATAATTACAATACTACTAAAGAAAAATCATAAAGATTGTAAAATAAATGTCTAAATAATATTCATAAAGTCTCAAGTTTGACCCGCCTTTATGGTCAAATTCTTTACATTTTGCCGGCCTTTTATATTTAATTTATGTTTTGTAGCAATATTTATTTTGTTTGTAACACACACAATCAAATCGTAGATTCATATATTTCTTTAATTAATTTTACAAATTACTTATTAATTTTCGAAACACGTTTTTACAGAAAGTAACTAGTTATGACTTATTAGTGCAAGATATGGCATCGAGGTATACTTACCGTTAACAGTTTAAGTTTTGAAGTTGTTATATGATACAAGCAAGTCCCCTGGCTTTGTCTCACTCATTTCTGACTCTTTAAGTTGTTTGTAATAACTTGGACTTGGTGATATACTATGTGATATGATTTGATGTGATATTTTTCTAAATAATATTTATACTAAATTTTATACTAAATATAGTTTAAAGTGAAGAAAGACAGCAAATATTTGATTTCACGCAAACAAATCCTATGTATCTCTTGATACGTATTTCGACCTAATAGGTCTCGTCAGAAGAGCTATTCATAGGAGTCCTCAACGTGAAAAATCAATATTCTCTGCCTTTTAAGAAGCAACAATAACATGGCTTCAATACGGACGCAGTAGCGACATCTAAATACAAAAAAACTATTTTACGATTTTTATAGTTTAAAGTGTTTGTAAATTTATAAATGTATGTTATTTATATCTAATTATCATAAGAAAAACGGCAACTATCCTTTAAATTTAGTGTATACTTGTTAAGAAGCATTTCCATTTTGTTTTCATCACAATAAAAGAACATTAGTAAAGTAATGTTGTGTTTTAGTTTGATTGTATGGATACAGTTGGTTTTGTTCTTCCTGGTTGTAGATCATCACAAGAAAACTGCAAAATTATCCAATAATGCAACATAATAGATTGGATTTGTTGATTATCTCACAGAAATCCAGTATTTTTTAGTAAATTTTATTTGTTGATAACAAATGGGATAAACTCACTGTCAAAATTAAACAAGAATCCAGCATTAAAGAATTTGTAAGTACACACTTATTTATACAAAGTATCTGGTAAGAAAAAAAAACTAGATTCAAGAAATTGATCATACCAGAATAAGAATATGGTCTACTATTAAAAGACAAATTTCTGAGAAAAACCATATTTAGATCTGTAACATTATTGACTCTCCCGATCAAAATATTCTCTAAATTATAATTAAATACCATAGACTCAAGAGATCTATAAAACTGGGTCACCTGATATTCAAATATATATACATGGGACCAAATGTGAAAAAAGTCCTTTTTTTATGTGAAGTGAATTAAAAAAAATATTATTCAAACATAAAGTTAGGTTAGAATTGACGTGTAAGGTTGTCCGATATTGATTACTCGATTACCGCAAGGCCGAGATATACAACAAAAAAAGAAGTTGTATTTGGTGACTTTTCTAGTAACTTTCTTGGGTGTGAATCTGTCTTTTTGGTTTACTCCTCCTGGTTAAAAAACAGAGTATAACAACCATTCAAATTTTGTCATTTTGTGTCATGTGGAACAATTTCACCTTATCATGTCAACATTAGACTGATAATTGCATTCAGTGCAATTTTCAATCCCTATGACAACACGATCGAGTTTGACAACTTCATCCAAATAAATTTCAAAATGTCACGTTTCGGCAATGAGAATGTTCAAAGTATAAATGCGCTAATCAAAGAAAAAATTCCCAGAAATACAACCTACAGTCACAAATATATTTAGGGAATATTCATGGAATTATTTTTATTTTATATATTTTATAATAAATGTTTCGTTATGTTGAGTTATGATTTTTTTTTTTCGAAAAATTATCCGCCGAATATCCCTCGGACATTGATGAATGCCTCATAATTTCATGACAAATTTCTCAAGCTCGTTGCTTGGTAACAGCACTCAGCCTTCGGCTTCGTGCTATTACCAAGGAACGAGCTTTCGATTGTCATGAAATTATCTCGTCTGTTATCAATGTCTAGGGGTATTACAACTGATATACTCCATTCCACGAATATACGACTGTTTTAAATTCGCTTTAAGGTGTCGATTTAAATGGTCCAATGTACTGAATTGTACAATAGTAAATTCTCCCATTTTTAAAATACTGTTACGACATATATAAACCTTAGATTTAAATATGAAGTCATGATATAAATATAAAGTTTTTTTTTTGAACCTATTCTCTATCCTTCAATTGTTGGATATAGGTCTCCCCCAGTTCTCTCCATCTTTCCCTGTCTTGAGCTGTTCTCTGCCATGTGGGACCTCCTTGTTTCCTAATGTCATCTTTCCACCTCATCTGTGGTCTGCCTCTTGATCTCTTTGCATTGTATGGACGCCACTTTCCGATGGCATTGTTCCATCGACCGTCTTGGAGACGTTCATTGTGTCCAGCCCATTTCCATCTTTTCCATTATAAAGTTAATAGTATATAATTACTATCATGGAGTTTAGTATTCTAAACAAGTTGTTTTTTGAATTATGTGATTTAAACGAAATGTAACAATACTTAAGTGATCAAATAGTGTAATTTTTTAGGCGAATATTCAATTAGTATTCAAAAAATAAAAAAAAACTTATTCACTTATTCTCTTAATCTTCTAAAACTATCATCAACGATCAGATTCACAGCCATAATCAGTCGGCGATATATGAAACTGTATATAAATTTTCGTTACTTTTTAATATCTGTTACGACTCGGTATTTTAACTATCAATAGCCGGTATGTTATACCCGTTACTTTCGGAACTTTTAAGAGTACATAAACTCAAAGCAAACAAATATTTAAAACTAACAAAGTGAAATATTAGATCCTTTTTCTAGTTTCTGAACCATCGTTCTGCCAATTTCTCTTCATTTATATTAAAAATAGCATATTTCTTTTTATTACAGTTCTAATACCTAATAAAGTCATAAAATAGGGTAATATCAAAGAAACCCGGCACGCCTCTTTGGTGTGTTACATTTCACGGAAAGCTTACCCAAATGTCTGATGAACACATTTGACTTCATAGACGTCATTGTATTTATTTGTAGATTTTAACTGAAATAATTTTAGTTTAGATGTCATACTTGTGGACCCTTTTTATTGGAATAATGATTGGACCGATTTACCTTTATACTTCTACTTGCACAGTAAATTATTCGTTGTCGCAGTAAACCAAAACAGTCGTATATTCGTGGAATAGCCTATAATTAGTTTTAACTAATATTTGACGTTTCGATTTGCACTCCGAAAATCGTTAAAAACAGATTATTTTAAAAATTCTGGGAAAATGTATAACCAACAAATTATGTATAATGTATAGGTTATGTTTTTTAAGATTGATGTCTGCTTCGCTTGGTCTTTATCTTGTAGGCGCAATGGAGTAGAAGAGAGTAAATTTTTATTTGCACACTTTTTATAACATAATTGAACAAAAACGTCACATTTAACGTAAACAAAAAAAAATATGCATTGAAATTACAGATAATGTATTAACATTACATATCAAATATGCTAATCAGGGAGGATAGACCAGGCACTCCGCCACAGTATAGTGCTCAATGTTAACTAGGTGCTGAAAAACCTTTCTTTGAAAAGCTCTAGAGTGTGTTTTCTGTTGTCTATTTAGACTATTGTAAAATTTAACAGACGCATACAATACTACTTAGAGAGGGAAGTCCTCTCTTCTTAGAGACAATCTGTGAAATGGGAAATTCAAATTAAGGCTTCGTGTATTATATTCATGATTTATAAAAGTAGCTCGGATCATATAGTGATATTATCAGATTCTTTATCAGTTTTGACCTCTATTGGGAAACCGGGAAACTTATATTTACAAAATTAAGGATATCAAACAAAAGTTAGTAACAAGGGGCAA